CGTTGCAAAGACACTGCGTTCCTCTACTTACACTCATCTACAATCGCACAGATCCCTAATGGATTACCGATTTTGCACGTGTGATCTCCTCCGGCCCGATTCCTAAGAATCGTATTAAAGAAGGCTGTCGAGGAACGACAGGACACGTCTGCCAAATCACCATGTAAAACGGGTCATGTAATGGCGGTGGCACGTTATGGTAATCCCCGAATTCTAGAGAATTCGATTATTACCCAACGCAGCACAAATTACATATTCGTGATCGTAATACTACAGAAATAACTGCGAAAGACCTGATTTGACTGTGTCAAAAAAACAGAGAAAATGGCAGCCACTTCCGTTTCGCATTACTTTCATGAAGTATATAATTTTTCACTTTACAGACGTAAGACAGAAGGAAGGAAAATACACAAAGGGGACTTACGATCGTTCGAGAAACACAATGAAACCAAATTGTACGACGCGGAAACGCGAAAACGCGAGCTAGCTAAGGTATATACCAACATATTCAACCGAACAATTGCACGGAGCCTAGCTTGAACATATCACTACAAATCAAAATTAAATAAAAAAAAAATAGGAAATTTTGAAAATGACGAATTTATAAAACTCAGTTTTGAAGGGACATAAGAAATTGAATAACATCCAAACATCCTTCTTCCGCGGCAGTTCAAGCTAAACTGAAGTTGCAAATCCAAATGGTTGACTACGTGCACCGATAGTGCTGCCACTGGAAGTTCGTGTTTCTATGTTTATTAGTATTTATATAGAGTGATTACTTTAGTAAGAATTAACTAAAATCATAAAAATAAAATATTAAAATATTTTATGCGTCACATCTATATCTATAATCTTTATCAAGTTGAAATAACGAAATAATTGTTCCCGCCTGTAGAGAAAATTTCTGTCGAAGAACGTGACATCTATAGATAGTGTAAGTAAATTTTGATAGAATTTTGTTAAAATAAAACAAAAAAAAGACCGGAAACAAAGCAAACAAATAAAATAAATAAAATAAAATAAATTTCTATTCTGGAAAATTTTTACAGAATTTCCAAATATAATTTAATGTTTCTCTTTACATTTCTATTTAGTTTCTAATATATCGATATAAAATGATTTCAATTATCTTTCAATATATTATCGAAGGCATCATTCTAAATAACTTTTTCTTTACATATAATCTGTGGATAAACTTTCTGAGATATTCGCAAAAAATTATTGATGTCATTACATTGTATTCTGTTTATACATATTGTACATGTGTAACGGCGTATCTATTGGTATTGGTTGTTAATCGTATGGACATGATTATATTACATGCTCCTGTTATTAATTATTATATTAATTCTTATATTAATAAATTATATTAAATTTAATTAAAATTTATTTAAATTAAATCAAATCCAAATCTGAAGTTGAACAATTATATGAATTTTTGTTCAATTTCAAGTAATTTATGTTAAGTTTGAGTTTGATTCCAATTGATTAGGTTTGAATCATACTTACATTAATCCGACCATCATGAGACGACTGGCTAGGAATTAGAAGGGGAATAATAAATCTTAACTAAAAACCAAACTCAAATCAAGTTTTCAATGACAATGTACTATGTATTTGTACTCTGTAAGTGTTATATTTTTTGCTAGTTTGAAAATAGTTAAATTGGATTCCGTTCTTTCTCTTTTTTACAGGTGAAACGAGAGATATGAAAACATATTGTAGCATTTATAATCATATTAATGTAATCAGGTCTATAGATTGTAAATAAACCATCGTAAGATGGTCGGTAACCAATACTGATATATATACACACACACATACACACGTATATCTTCATTTGTTAGGAAACAGAAAAGTTCAATGTACCAATATATTTACTACATAACAATATAAAAATCTAATACTTCTATTATATATGTTACATTCTATAAATTTGATAAATGGTTCGTTTTAATTACATATTGTAATGATGACCAAATTTAAGCAATTAGCCAGTGTCTCTATTCCAAAATTCAATTTGGATTATCTATGACTAAAGAAAAAAGAACAGGATACATACATTTTTTCTTTTCCAGAATTTCTGTTACACTTACTGATCATACTTCACACCTGGATTATTTTTATTCTTTGATACATGTACATTATAAATATCTATAATTATTACATTTTGTTTAGTACAAATTCAATAATTTTATTTAATACAAAATGCGAATTCATTCAGTGACACTAAACTCTAATATTGCTATTTGGTTCAATAAAAATTTTAATTATTTCTTCAAATTATAAGAATATTTTATATAACTGGATCAGTTAATTAACAGTTTAAGGCAAAAAGGAAAAAAGACTTAAACATCATAAATATTTTTAATAGCATTTTATTTTATATCATCACAGAAAGTTAAAAACATGTTGCAGCCATTAGCAAATTTGCACTACCAGCATAGTAACACAAATTTCCCAAGTCACACCACGAGGAGGTTGCTGCAAATGGTGACTCACCCTATCCCATCGAGCCCGTCCACCCTCCTTTTTGCAAAACTCTACATCTGCGGAAGGCATCCTCGCAGTATATCAATCTATTTCAATTGAAATAGATGCACAAAAAATGACCTGCCCGAAAAAGAGTTAGGAGCGCTACTCTACCCCTATCTCTTTTAAACTAACTTATATAGTAAACCCTATCTAAATCTAAAAGTCGAAGCTAATCCCTATTTTCCCTAGCTAAGAAACTAAAATTAATACCCATGTGCAATTGTACAATTAATATGTTATTCAATGGCGCACTTCTTAATGAAAGAAGCAGACCATGTGGACGGTAAACGATGCGAAACTACATCAAAACTCCACATTATAGGAGTAGTGCTAATTTAATTACATTGCCCTTCTCGCCCGATTCGTCGTCACGAGGACAAGGGATAAGGTAGAATTGTAAATAGAGTAACAACATTAACATTTGTCATTCTATTTACACGCGATTTTTGTAGACGAGCCAGAGCCAAGAAACTACGTTTCTTTGCGTTGCAAAGACACTGCGTTCCTCTACTTACACTCATCTACAATCGCACAGAGCCCTAATGGATTACCGATTTTACACGTGTGATCATCTCCGGCCCAATTCTTAAGAATCGTATTAAAGCCTGTCGAGGAATACGACAGGATACGTCTGTCAAATCACCGTGTAAAACGGGTCATGTAATGGCGGTGGAACATTATGGTAATCCCCGAATTCCAGAGAATTCGATTATTACCCAACGCAGCACAAATTACATATTTGTGATTGTAATGCTACAGAAATAACTGCGAAAGACCTGATTTGACTGTGTCAAAAAAACAGAGAAAATAGCGGCCATTTCCGTTTCGCGTTACTTTCATGAAGTATATAATTTCTCACCTTACAGACGTATGACAGAAGGAAGGAAAATACACAAAGGGGACTTACGATTGTTCGAGAGACACAATGAAACCAAATTGCTTATCGCGGAAACGCGGAAACGCGAGCTAAGGTATATACTAACATATTCAACCGAACAATTGCACGGAGCCTAGCTTGAACATAACACTACGAATCAAAATTAAATTAAAAAAAAGTAGGAAATTTTGAAAATGACGAATTTATAAAACTAGAAAAACTCAGTCCTGAATGGACGTAAGAAATTGAATAAAACGGAAGCAACCTTCCTCCGCGGCAATTCAAGCTAAACTGAAGTTGCAAATCCAAACGGTTGACTACGTGCACCGATAGTGCTGCCACCGGATGTTCATGTTTCTACGTTCTACGTTTATTAGAATTTATATCGAGTGATTACTTTAATAAGAATTAAATTTAATTAAAATCATAAAAATAAAATATTAAAATATATTTTTATTCGTTACATAATCATACCTATAATCTTTATCAAGTTGAAATAACGAAATAATTATTCCCGCCTGTAGAGAAAATTTCTTTTCATTGGTCGAACGCGACATCTATAAATACTTTAACTAAATATTACCGTTACTAGAAAAAAGAAACAGGATACAAAAAATAGTTTTGTTCT